CCCAAGGAGATTGTGGAGTCTCCTTCTCTGGAGATATTCAAGACCTGCCTGGACAAGGTCCTGTGCAGCCCGCTGTAGGTGACCCTGCTTCGGCAGGGGGGTTGGACTAGATGACCCACAGAGGTCCCTTCCAACCCCGAACATTCTGTGATTCTGTGAAACCAACCTGCTCTGCTCATCGGGGGTTTGGCGACGCGGCCATTCTCTACGTGAGTGTTACGCACCGACAGGGACACAAGAAGTGGGTGCTATTTTTTTTTTCTTTTTCCTTTGGTGCAAAACTTTTCCTTTTCCACATCGTCAAAAAACAATGCGCCCGAAGCCAGCTCTGCGTGTTGCTATTTTCTGCCCCCCAGCACTGGGGTACAGCAGCGTCGCGCGGCCCTGTGCCACCTGCCCTTGGCCTGGCCGGCCGACAGGGAACCGGGACCGTCGCGTGCTTCTCCTGGGCCTTTTTTCTCTGCGTGAAGCGCAGGGAGGCAGGTGCGTGAGGCGTGGGGAGGGAGCTCAGCGACACAAGGCCATCTGACAGCCGCTCTGCCCCACTCGCTCTGCGATGGGGTCCGCCGGTTGCCGGAAGGTGATACATCTCACCTGTCGTAGCCATAAAATTGTGATGTGTCCTGGAAAGCCTCTCAGTTAACTGTTCGTACGTGGGTCGTCCACACCTGAGCCCCAGCACGGCCGGCACAGCGTTGCTCGCGGCCTCGCCCGGACCTGGAGCCGCGTTCAGACCCGTTGGCGCGCGTCCCCCCAAAACCGAGGGGCGAGAGCCGGCCCCTGAAGGCGAGCTGGCTGCGCTTGCTGCCGAGCCGGGGTTCTGTGATCTCAGGAGCACATTTCAGGGGGTTCCGCCACGGCCTCGCAGGGTGTGAAGCCCTGGGGGGTGCCACACATCCAGCAAAGCATCCGGGAGCGGGTGAGCGAGTGACATTTGTCGCTCACCAAGGCACTGGGCTGAAGGCAGGACGATATCCAAGCTCTGCTCTTTCCCGGGGTGGATTTGTCGTGATTTCATGATTTTCA